GGCACGGGGCCCAGCGCGCGACGCTCGCGAGAGCGCCCCGACGGGTCACGTGCTGCCGGCGGCGCGTCAGCCGCCTGGGGTCACGTGACGGGAGGACGGGGCACTTAACCGCCTCGCGAGGGCCACGAGCGGGGCGCGCGGGGAGACGGGACGGGACGGGACGGGACGGGACGGCAGACCCAGCCGAACCGGGAGGCTGGCGGTCCCCCGGTGAGTTAGGAGAGGTCGGCAGCACCGCCCGGAAACGGCTGGAGCCCTCCCTGCCGCGGCTCGGCGGGGCGGGGGCTGGCTTGGCTTGTCGCGCTGCCGGCGCTGCCCTCTGAGGGGATTGAGATCAGCAGACTGGAAATGTTCCGCTTCTGGGCAAAGCGTTTGTCTTTGTGGGCAGAGGAGTGGTGTCAAAGCGCGGTGTCTGACCCATGGCTGCTGCGGGGGGACCACGGGGTGCCTGGGACTAAATGTACACTCGCTCACGTCTTTGTTACTGACCGTCACAGAAGGGTTTGGGTTGGAAGGGACCTTACAGATCATCTCGTTCCAACCCCCTGTCCTGGGCAGGGACACCTCCCACCAGACCAGGTTGCTCAAAGCCCCATCCAGCCTGGCCTTGAACCCCTCCAGGGATAGGGCACCCACAGCTTCTCTGGGCAACCTGGGCCAGGCTCTCACCACCCTCACAGCAAAGAATTTCTTCCTAATACATAATCTAAGTCTGCTTTCTTCCAGTTTAAAACCGTTAGCCCTCTTCCTATCGCTCCTACTTAGAACCACACAAAACTTACGAATAATTGAGAAGAGAGTAAGTTTTGCTATTTGGTCCTACAACAGGAGAGGAAAAAAGGGAGGAGAGCTCAAGGGCCCCTTCAAGCTTGTCACAGGAAGGAAAAAAAATATTTCCTGGTGGAAATCCAGTAATCAATTTGGCCTTGAACCTGTGAGCCAGGCAAATTAAGCAGGTGCCCAAAAAGTTTCTTAGTATTACCAGGGGCATCAGTGCCTCCTGCGAGCATCCTGTCCCTCGTGGTCGTCAGCAGGCAGGGCTCCACAGGAAGATGACTTCACCTGGGCTCTGGGTTTGTTTGCATTCTAAGGGGAAAACGTATCTACTGTGTCCTGCAAGGCTTGGTTCGTGCCCTCAGAGGATATTTTGACCAAGGATAAACCTTACATCTCTATATTGGTATATGATTTGTTAATTAAAATACAGAAACTATTAGATGCAGATCACAGACTGATTGATGAGACCAAGTGTAATAATGAAGATAACAGTAGCATCTTTTTTCGTATTTTTAGTAATAATCTAGAAATAGATATAGAAAACGTTTTCTGTTAAGCCTTTGTGGACAGATCAGTGACAGTTGAAAAGACATACAGATTTATTGATACAGAGCAATCCGAATGACTTTGTGAGAGCACCTTAAAATGCACATTAGTACAGTCAATTTCAGCTCCGTGTCTCAGAACAAGAAATCTAGGACAAATCTGCACAATTAAAGTCAGAGAGGGACTGAGGAGGCATGCAATGTCTGGGTACTTCCAAAAGCAACAGCAAGAGGAGAATATTTCTGTGGTTGCATCAGCAGGAGCAAGCATAAATAGGTATTTTACTTATAAACAGGTATTTTACCTCTATACAAGTTTTAGTGAGAGTTAATACTGAGACAGCGTATATGGTTCTAGAGTCTGGAGTTCTATGGGGTCTTCTAAAAAGCCACCAACATTATTCAATGGCTGAAGAAACCTGTTTAACTCATAAAAGAAGACCAGGAGGCGGCTTGATTGCAACATGTAAATAAGTTGAAATACTTTCCAAACATAAAAACATTGCAACAACCCATTGACTAAAAGCTAAAAGTACAATTATCTATAAGAGGTTTGGGGGTTTGTTTTCTCTTGTTTTTTTCAGCTCGGAATAGTGCCTTTTTGGATGCTATTTGAACACGTGCTACCATTTAAGCAAATGCTGGTATGTATAGGAAGACAAGCCAGATTTTGAAACTACTGATCTATAACTTTTATAAATTGGAAATTCTCATTAACTGGATCCTTAAAACTGGATTTGTCATCATCCAAAAATAGAGATATTTTTTTTCTGTGTTTGAGTAACAATGCTCTTTTATAATACAATGTGTTTTACAATTCATGAAATGGTTGGTGCTTTTATGTGCATATGGTGCTTGGGGTATGTGCATAGTAGCACATTAAAAGCACTGTTTAAAACAATGTACACCCAGTTGTCAAGATTTTGTTCTTTCTGTACTTGTTATGAGAACAAAGCAAGTTCAGGTACGTTTGTGTTGTACCTGAATGTTTATAACTGCATCCAGTACTTTTATTTCTGGGAAACAGAGTAGCTGCCAGAACTGTTTCTTGTCATAAATCCATACGTTTTATGAGGTGTTTATACATTGTAGTGCCATATTACAGTGTATTCATAGAACTGAGCTATATTCTTTGCAGCCCATAAAGTTAAACCACAGTGATAACATTATTACAAAGTAATTGATACCACTTTTCTGGAATTTATCACATTTTACATAGAATTTTAGTGTAATTTTATTGCCAAGTAAAGGCATGTAAATTTAAGACAATACTTCATCACAGATGCTGTAGAAGGCAACTTGATCAGCTTTTATCTAAGCCAAACTCTGTTTCCATTAGCATTGAGGCTTTTTCGCTCTGATTCCTAGTGGGAAGCTTTCTGATGGACGTGACTGTTCTTGGGGAAGAACCAGTGAAAACTGGTGTAACTGGAGACTTTCCTGCCGTGCTGGTGCTGTGGGGCAGCAGTCGGGGTCGCAGCAGCGGTGATGCTCTGCAGGGAATGGCACAGCTGGTTGGGAAGGTGAGGTTCCTAGCACCCAGCACAGCTGGGCATGCCTTGGGGCTCATGAAGGGGCTGTCTTCAGGGCAAATTATAATTTACAGTTAGAAAAGAGGCTGGTGGTTCCTGCAGCCATGCTTGGCTTGTCCAGGAGATGGTAGTGGTGCTGCACAAGACGTCTGTATCACCAGCCGTGTTTAACTACCAACGCAGGAAACTTATTCTGTTGTAGATCCACAATTATGTCTCCTTTTTACAGTCTGCTGGTTTATTTTTATAGTTAGAGCTAATGGGAACGTATATCTGAAGTTATTTTTGAGGATAGCTGGGACTATACAGTGTTTTGAAATGTGTATGAGTTAAAGAAGTACACTTAAATCAGCAATATTCTGCATTCCTTAAACATTAAATCCTGAAGCAGCTAAGGCTCAGGGATCGGAGTGCTCAGCAGCAACTAATGCCATAAAGACAATTCTATCCAAGTGGTTTAATGTCCTTGTTTTTCAATTTTGTACGGATGGATTGTTGTGCTCAGCACAGGGACCTAGCCACTAGCAAAAAATTGCCATCTGCAAACAAAACAGTCTGTCCTCATGCTAGAAATTGCAATCCAAATCTAGGCCAAAATGGAGACACTGGATGTTTTTAGTCTTTCCTGGCAGGCATCGCCCTGTCAGTAGGGCAGTATGTCAGGCTTGAAGGTCATTGATATATTCATTTGGATCAAACCACCAAGAAAATATATAAATGCTTAAATTTTGAGGGTTGTTTTCCTGAAGATGTGGGTTTTTTTCTTTCAGTTGACCTGTAACTCTAAGCAAAATTGGCTTGTTTTTAGTTTGTGGGTTTTTTTTTTACCATTTGTCATCACGGGCAGAGCTGTCAACTTTGTCCAGTTATGTGATATTTCCCATTATGAGGCGTTTTTTTGTTGTTGCTCCTGCAATATTTGTTCCACTGAGCTGCTTTTTTTTTTCTGCACTGGCTGTTTGGCTCTGGCTGAACTTCGCAAAGCTTCAGCAGTTTGACACTTGTCAAATCAAGTTGTAGAAAGAAATGCTGATTGGCCGGGCACATTATTAAAATCTGCAGCTATTCTGTTGAGAGGTTCGAGTGCCTCTTCATTTTATAGCGTGGCTTGAAACTTCTTTGGGAGAAGTTCTGCTTGTTTGAAGGCTTCGCTTTTTGCTGTTCCACTCTCCTGAAATTTGGCGTAAGAGTAAGGTTTTGAAATACCTGTTTACACAGAGGTTTGTGTGGAAGCTAAGTCAGTTAGGTAAGCGTGTACACATTTCCAAACGTGATTTAACCCCCTACGATCCTGGTAGCCAACATGGATTGTGGTACTACGTGAAGAAACTGAGAGCTCAAACACTGTGTGCTCTGAATGATTGCAGTAATTACGCCCCACCAGTGAAAAGAGGCACGGTGACAAAAACCGATGAGGAAAAGTGAATCAGAACTGGATGAGGAATAAGAGCCAGGGTGGGTCAGCATGGAGATAAGTAGAAAATATCAGAATTAGAAAAAACGGACGGAAAGCTTGCGCCCATTAGGACGTCATCTGTTTCAGAAGGGTCTGAGGCTCTTGGATTTCCATCCCCCTGCAACTGACGGCTTGTGAGCTGACAAAATGACAGCTTACGTGGGAAATGACAGCCTGCCAGTGCAATCATTTACTTTACTGGCAGAAGCAGCAGGTCCGTTTGATGGGTCCTAACCAGGCCTACACAACCTGCAGTTTGTCAGATGGTATTTTGAGCTCAACACGAGCCTTCAGTTGGGAGCAATATGCCAAGTCAAGGTGCGACTTCTCTCTCCGAGGCACTCTGCCATCTGCGTCAGGGAGCATGTCAGTGCTGGAGGCCTGGGGACTTCAGAAGAAGGCAGCTGGAGACACTGGTTCTGCCTCTTGGTGTGCTGGGAAGTCTGTTGCTGAGACTCCTTATGTCTAGAAGGGGTTTGAATGGCAGGAAAGTTGCGAAGATGAGGGGAGTTTGGAAAGTAGGGAACAAGGGCTGCTGCAGTGGCCAGAGGAGCCTGGGAGGATGAGGAGAAGAGCTCGGAGCAGCGAGCCAGCAGTGTGGGAGGTTTGGGAACCAGGAACTTGAGGTTAATATGGAAACAGCGTAGGGGTATTTTGTGTTTGTGCGTGGGGAGGGACCTGGGAAGTAAGGAATGAGGCGGGCTGCTGTGATGGCTTGTGGGGTGGCTGTAGGGGAGAGGAGACTAAGTCCTGAGGTAGGGAGGGTAGACAGAAGGAAGGGTATTGTATGCATGGGGAGAGGGAAATTTGTAATGAGTACGTGAAAGGAGAGGGAAGAGGATGTGAGGTGCAGCTGGCAGCAGTGATGACCGTGTGTGTTTTCCCCTGTATGTGGCAATCGGTTAGCAGAGCCCCACAGAGAGAGGATCGAGCCCCTCTGCTGTGTCCCACAGCTGCAGCTGAGTGCTGGCAGTCAGCCTTTGGTGGCTCACCCACGTGGGAGCTGCACGCTTCTGGTCTAAGCACTGCTCAGAACACGGGATTTACAGTAAACACAGACATGTCGTTAAAAATAAGCTGTTGTTTCTAGGTCCTGTACCTTCGTTTGCTGAATTATAAAGGCACTGAAAGAAGAGGAAGAGAGCTTTGCAAGAGGGCCACTGACTACCACTATAAAGATCTGGATTTACTCCTGTGTAGGAGTATCTACATAGCATGAGTGAGGTAGATCTGGGTATGGAAAAAAAGAAAGCTCAGAGCGTAAACCTAGAGCTAATTGCCCCATGGGATTTGTCATTGAAAACTGACCAAAAAAGCTCTGATTCAGCTGGAGGCAATTTTGTTGTCACCAGGGCATGGTTAGATTACTTTTAGGAACTGTCATACATTCCTAGGTTTTGAAAAATCAGAGCATCTTGGCTTGGGACAGCTGCCACTCCTGATTAGTGTTACTTAGGCCATATGAGTAATTTTTAGGGGTGAAATAGAAAGAAGCAATTTGAGATGGTGAAACTTATTTATAAAGAGGGTTCTGATTATTTGCTGCCTCTTCTGAAGTTTAATGACATTGGAACTTTAATTAGTCACCCAGACACCTTTGGACCTCTATATCTCTGTTTCTTTGTCCTCCTGTAGAACAAGGGATAATAAAACTACCTTATGTTGTAGAAATGAATACTTAAAAATGGCTCCGACATAGTACTGATGCATATCAAATGAAAGCCAATAAGAAAATGAATAATTCTATTTTTAAAATGGAATTTGAAGACTCCATGGCAAAAAGTGAGTTCCACTGATGTAGAACCAGATTGTGAATGTCTGGCATCAGAGCAGTATCAAGGACTATCGAAGTCTGACTTTGCCATGCCATGTTCTGCTTCCATCCTGTGAACCTAGAAGTTGCCCACAGTTAACATTTTTAATGCTGAACTATGATGAGGTTGTTTTTGCTAACTACCATCTACATGAACCTTTAAAAACATTAACTGTGCTATAGTAGCTGCAGAATTCACATACATCAATGTGCTTTCTTTACCAATATAAACAACACATACGATTTGCATAAAATGCAAAATATGCGCGTCGCCGTTCCAAACTTTTCCATCCTTCATTTTACTGACAGACTTTCAGACACATTTTCCTGAAGTGAGAGAATTTCTGGAGTATGCACATAGCGGTGAGAGATGGCAACCACCCATCCTGTGGCGTGAACGAACTTGTTAAATGTTCCCTTCTACATCATGTTAGTCACTACTTGAGCAGCGAGACTGCTTTCATGTGGTTTAGCATCCTGTTCCTGGTAATCAGTGTGTTGTCTCACGTCCTACAGCTGATCCAACACTCAGAGAAACTGAAAGTCCTTCTACAGATGTTTCCTCTGAAAATGAAACTGAAGTGGCTCTTACAGTAATTGTTATCATTGCAGCTGTCTCCAAATGAACTCAGTTTGGATGCTTGGCCAAATGGTGCTTTGCAGAGGCTACTAATAAAAGAACAGTGTATCAGATGGGCACTTAAAACTCTCCTTGCCAATGTTTCTATTTATATGTCACTTGAAGGAAAAAAATATGGAGCTACTGGTTGATATTTTTTTAAAAGCAAAATTTCATATAAAAAATATTGTGGCGTTCATCTCCATGTGACAGGGAAACCAAGATGATAGGTTACCAAGAGTATACTAAGATAGAGGAGATTTGGGTGCCTAACTGCATGATTTTTGTTCACACAGAGGTATCAACACCATGTTTGGGCTATGGGATAACTTTTACTCATGCATTGGTTAACAATCTATGTCAGGTTTTTGATTGGTTGGGGCTTTTTTTAATTTTTCTTTCAATTTTTTAGTAACTTCATCTGACTTGAGTGCAGTGCTATTTACATACTTTACTTACAAAGGAGAAAAAGTATAATTGATACGTTGTGCTGTTTCATATGCTGGATTTTTTTTCCCTGAGGATTTTCATTCCCCATACTATGCGTGCTTTGTGAGAAGGTCTGAGTTCAAAGTCTTTTTCGAGCTTTAGAGCTGCAGGAGCATTTAGAACTTAGTTTGGTACTTTGTTGACTCAGGGATAGGTGCTGGTTTCTGATTAGGTCCCCTGAAATTATGAGAATGTTCACCCTCATCTTGGTCAAGCTTATTCATGTAATTTGGTGAGAAGGTAAAATATGCTGTCCCGTGGCATCTAGCCCTGTACTGTTAGCAGTAGAGAGAGCTTGAAACAAAAAGCAACCAATGTCACTGCGAGCAAGATGATGATTATTGTCAGTGATCGTTATAATGGATATTATTTCATACTATTGCATTGTCTTTTGAATTAAATAACCAAGCCTATAATCGCACTGATTATTGAGATGCAGCCTGCTTTTCTCTGGGTTTTTAGTTTCATGCCAGGTCAGCAATGTTCTGAACTTTTCCAGGACAGTTGTAGGGAGGAGCACGTGTAGGCAAACATCTGTTCTTCCTGTGCTTGGCAGGAGCATTTGATGTGTAGTTTTTAATTGAATATGGAAGGAGCAGTGTTTTACAGCATAAGTAAGCATGGGCAGCTAATCAGCTAAAGTGCAACTACGAGCTGAGCCTTCTGAGTTTGAAGGCTTGGTGAGTTTTTATCGTTTGCTTTTTTTAAGCATCAGTCTCAGAATCTCCCTAGGATTTACCAATCGAGCAAATAAACATGAAAAGCCAAATACAGATCCAAACTGCTGCAAGCAGTGCTGATCTGTAGATTTTATCTAGAGGCACAAACCAGATTATCTTATGTGTCTAACTTCTTTCCTTTTTCTACCTGCCCTCCCACACCTGATGAAACTATTTAGCCTTGAAATGTTGGAAGACCACATACCTGAAGCAGCAGTGGGCTTGTTTAAACATCATTTTGTGGTATTGGTGTTATAGATCCAGATATGACTAATAAGGAAGTTTCTTCATTCAGTGTTCATGGATGACCAATTTGTACTAGTATGAGGAACAAAGCTGGTATGAGGAGGTCGTGTCGCCCAGGGAGCAATTCAATCCCCGGAGTGAGTCATGACACTGATATCTTAAGCCACAGGGATAGAACATAGTAGAAAACTCTAACATAGAGTTTTAATCTTCTGACTTTTTTTTGGAGATATTTCCAAGCAGGCTTCTTTCACTAACACTCATGGCATTAATACATCTAGTTTAGGGCATTCATTTGGGCTCTCCACGTCCTTTTTATTGTAATAGAATGAAGACAGTAACTGCCTGGTAAATCAAATAGTGAGCATAGAAAATAGCATTTGCATATAGAATCACAGAAACATAGAATAGTTTGGTTTGGAAAGGACATTTAAAGGTTATCTAGTCCAACCTCCCTGCAATGAGCAGGGACATCTTCAACCAGATCAGGTTGCTTAGAGCCCTGTCCAACCAACCTGACCTTGAATGTTTCCAGGGATGGGCATCTACCACCTCTCTGGGCAGCCTGTGCCAGTGTTTCACCCCCCTTATTGTAAACAGTTTCTTCCTTCTATCTAGTATAAATCTAGCCTCTTTTAGCTTAAAACTATTACCCCTTGTCCTATCACAACAGGCCCTGCTAAAAAGTTTGTCCCCATCTTTCTTATAAGTCCCCTTTAAGTAGTGGCAGGCTGCAGTATGGTCTCCCTGGAGCCTTGTCTTCTCCAGGCTGAACAACCCCAACTCTCTCAGCCTGTCCTCATAGGAGAGGTGTTCTCTTTCTTGGTTCACTTTCTTTGGCCTTCCTTTTCTGACTGACATAACTGAAGTAGCCCTTCTTAATATTCTTTCTGTCCCTTGTCAAGCCAAGATATGCCAATGTCTCTAGATGAGTTTTCATAGTACCTTTCTCCTTTTTTTTAGTCACTTCGGGGATTTGAATATACGTTGCAGCAGTGGAGAAGGTAGTGGGGTTTGTGTTATTGAACTATGTGTTTCTTCCAGAGACGGTGTTACCTTTGGAGCTAGAGATAAGGCACAACATAGCACAATTTTCTTATCAAATTATTGCACATGTGAAAATCATATTGATGTTAACCGGTCTACAGGCACCCCTGGCTCTGAAGTACTTAGGCATGGGCTATATCACAGACTTCTCTACAGTAGAGTTGCTTGTGTGCACAGAGAGCAGTTTGCTCCACACTCTCCTCCCAGGATGACTGCTGAAATCAGAAGGGCAGGATATTTACAGTTCACAAATGCTTTTAGTGGCATCTTCAATTAAGTCAGTAGATCTTTCCTAATTCCATTTCCTGCTGCACTAAAAACTCCGCGCCAGTAGATGATGATGCTTTTTAAACCACGAAACCATCTTAAAAATTTAATCTGGATAATATGTGAAACCAATAACAAAATCAGAGTTCAATAAAATATAGACATGGTTTCAGACTGATGTAAAACAAATCCAGATTAGGCTGTGATACAATTTTAAGGCTAACCTTGAGGGAGCTGTTGTCAGGAACTGTGGTGCAGAGTGGTTGAAATTAGATCAGCTATGATAATCCTTTTTTCCTTTTTTTTTTTTTTTTGACAAAGCCTCTTGGGAAATAATATCTCAAGATTTCTTTGGAGCATCTGTATAGATCTGAGCATGAAAATACTATTGGTTTTTAAATTCTAAATCACTGGATAAGTCTCTGTGGACTAGTACTATCATCTGTTGTATTAATAAAATAAGTGATTTCAGTACATAGTGTTCAGTAGATATTGATTCACTTCTCTTTTGGAGCTGGTCAAGCTTTTAGATACTGTATTTACATTTACATGGTATTAAAGGACTCCGTGCATCTAATTAGACCAGTTAAGAACCTTCTACAGCAATTTGTTGGTTGAAGAAATTGTTGAAAGTGAGGAAGAAAATGTTGTCATAAGTAGATGTCAGCACCCTTAGCACAGAAACAGGAAGAGAGGAAGGAGAATATAGAATAATAAAAGGAAGGAAGTTAGGCGGGGTTTAACCTACAGATGAGAGTTAATAATTCGGGTTCTGCTGCAGGAAGAAACGCAAAATTGAGTCCATGTCCACATGGACATGGTAAACTAAATAAAATGTATATTCACCTCACGAGAAACAGATTGGTCTTGTGGAGCTATATGTTTGCATTAGGCAAATTGGCCTCTGTATTTTTCTTCAAAGCTGTAAACAACATCAGCCAGCACAGAGCAGCACAGGGCCATCATTTAGACTTCACTGTCTGCTTCACCATGATTTGCTTTTGTGTAAAAAATTATTTAAAAGAGTTTATGTAGGAGCTATTCCTGTAATAAAATGTTCTTTAAGTGCAGTTTAAATAATTTTCACTTTACCATTTGCTCTTTTAAATTTTTTTTCCTTTAAGATAGGCTTCCATTTGAGGTAACTTCAAGTGTGACTATAGCTCACTTCGTTGGGGACAAGTCTCAGAGGTGTCCCTTGGGCAGAAAACGATTGAGAAAGCAGCATCATTGACACAGGTAGCATAAGGATGTGGGCATCAGCAGAAGGGCTCTCCATGTCTAAATAGTGCCGTGTTTAAAGTATGTATAAAAGCTGGATGTAAGGTGCAGAAAAGGCAGGTGCCATAAGTTTTCAAGGGCTGGCTATTCATTTAAGCCATTTAGGAATCGTACATTTCTAGTTTCATGCTCTTGATCATGTGGTCAGGTTTGATCTTCCTGTTGCTTTATGCAAGCCTCTCATGCAGATGACTTGTGCATGCGCCCGGGCACAGATTCTGCTCAAGTTTGTGAGGAAAGGTACCTGAGATAAGGTGCCAGGTCTTTGGTGATCCGATGTAGGCAATCATTGACACCTCTCATGGAAGAACCAGGCTTTGCTAGATCGGATCTGCCAGGCAGAGGATTTTTAGGGATTACATGGAGAGGGTGACTTAAAACCTGGAGACCTGAGGTATCGATAGGGGTTTTGCCAGGGATTTGCAGTTTAACCCTGAGCAGTTACTTACCTCTTGTCCTGCAGAGTGGGAGCACCACAGGGTAGAAGCTAACATGCCCAGAGGTTCTGCTGGACACCCAGACTCCTCCGCTGGAGCCTGTAACGAGAGGAGGGTGCTTGGTGGCTTGTCTAAGTCATTTAGTTTACCCATTGCTGCTTAAAATAGCAGCAAGTCAGCATGACGCATGCTCTGCTCTGCTGTGGCCCACATAACATATGTTGATGTACAAGCTGTGAGCCCTCCGTTCCTCTTCCCCAGCAGGGCCAGCAGAAACCACCTTCCTTCTTGCGTTGCTGTCGTGCCCGACCCTCGTGTTCCACCAGCGCAGGTGGAGTGTGTGGTGACGTGGTGGAGATGACGGACCCAGGAGCTTCTGAAGCACACCATTTCAGAGAGTTTCAATTTACAGAAGAAATGAATGCACATCAGGTAAATATGTGGCTGTAAATGAAAATTTGGGGCACTTCTACAGCCATGACTAATCCTGCGCACGCTGTGACTCAGCTAGTGAAGCATTTATCAGGAAAGGTCCCAGAGCACTCAGTTATAAACCAATAAATAAAACCATCTTGTTTTCTCTAACAAACAGAATCACTGAAACTAATTTTGTTGCCTGTTCCTTACTCCTTCAAAAATAAGCCACCCAAATATTTATAGTCATGCAAGAGAGGGAACATCATTTGTAGTAAATATGCCCTTTGCTTTAAATTCACATGTGTTTGTCTCCTGATTCTTGGTCCAGTTCCAAGTACCAAATCTTAAAACTCAGAAACCTGACTGACTCCAAATTATTTTGTAAAAACGTGCTTTTGGTCAGTATTGTGGTTTATGACCTACACGATGATGAAACCAGTTGTAATTCATCAGGTTTATATCATCAATAAGATGTGTATGTTGCTTGAGGATAGTTAGAAGATAGTGTAAGACACACAAGTGTTTTTGATGGACTTGGTAACAGAACTTAAAATAAGTACATTATTCATATTTTGGTTACCCCACGGTAAAAAAAACCTGCAAAATACTAGGCTGAGTCCAAACTTGACATCTGATTTATTCTAAAACATGAACCGAGGCATGCAGATCATTTCACTAATTTCTGCAAGCCTGTTAGGTTTATTATGCATTTCCATATTTTACTATTTCAGGTTTTTAATTTGTCTTTGAAAACAACATTTACAAGACAAAAGTGAGCGAGTAAAAAAATTTTAACAAAAATTGCTTTTTCAGGGTATTTTGGTTGGCTTTTTGGCAGAGTTAAGCCCTAAAATAAAAAGTGCAAATTTTCTTTCTCTCTCCTTTCAGCTTAGGTTGTGGCCTTTACTACAAATTAGTATTTAAGGCTGCATCTTCTACTTTGGCTTGTTTTGTGGTTTATAAGCTGCACCTGTCCCAAGATCTCAGTGAGCAAAATGTAGTAACCTCAGCTCCAGATGAACGTACAGGGAATATTGCTGTTGGTGCAGGGGCTCTGACCTAAATGAGGATGCTTTTTTACAACCCTTATACCACTAAAGAATGGGATTCTCACCTCATATGTCAACTGATACTGCCAAACTGTTTCCTTATATTACTTTGTATCCTGCTTGAGTCCAGAACTATTTATTCATATTCATTCATTCATGACATACTTTGCTTCTTTAAATGCAAAATATGTGTTCAGAAATTGAGCGTGTCCAACGTTATAGGCTACATGTTTTGTTCTCTGTCCTGTGACTGGCTTGGAGGAGTCCTTTTAATAAAACTTTTAAACCAAATATGGCCCAAATATCCCATTTTCTCACTGTTTTAAATCAGGAATAGACAAACATCAGCTGAGTCCGAAGGCTGTGTTTGGCCTTTGATGGCTGCTCTAAAAATGGTATTGTACATGTTCTGTATTTTTCTGGGTTCTTTCGTTATGAGTAGTGTGAATGGATAGAAATAACTTCATTTTATATGGTGATAAAATTGGTTGCTGTGAAAATGTAATTACTTGAAGATGTCTCAGTTGTTTTTCTCACTTTTGTTGGAGACTGAATTAAGCTATCAGGCAGAGTATGATTAGTTGGTCCTGGAAAACGAAATGCCTCAGGGCATTTGATCATTATTTAGAACATTTATCCTTAGGTCATCTGGATTATTCCATCTGGAATACACAGTAGGTAAAATTTTACAATGGGAGCCTTTTGCTAAACCTGAAACAGGCAGGCAAGTCCCAGCCAGTATCTTAGTGGGCAAGAATGTGTGTGTAAAAACTGCATCAGCTTTAATGGACCACCTGATGGGCAACAGTAGTTCAGGGGCCAAAGCATTGCCAGATGAGTTACACCAAGGTTGTTCCTATGGCTATAACACACCTCTCTGTGTTCCCTTATAACATGCAGCCTGAAATCAACTTAGTTCTGTCTAGCAAAACTACTCAAGTTCCCAGCTGAGATGGTGCAGATTTGTTCTTGGTGTAAATGTCAGTGAAAGTGCCCGTATGCTTGCTGTGAGAATGCCCTGGCAAATTAGATATACACCTGCAAATACATTTTAAAGACACTGAAACATCTCGCCGCATAAAGTTGACACATATTCAGTCAATTTAGCATGTTCCAACGCCAACAAAATGTAATTGCAGGTTCTTTCTTCTTTTTGAGGTGTTCCTGCCAAGAAGCCCAGCTGGATGGGTTTGGGGTTTGGAAGACAGTACTTTGATACCTCAGGGTCCTGTCTAGAGTCTGCCAGTCATGCAGACACCTTGCTTTCAGATGGTTCTTCTCCCCCCACCCTCAACAGCAGTTGCTCTATTCACACCTACCTCCTCTTCAGCCATGGTTTGTTGCAAGACAGGTAAGCTGGCAGATTTGGCTGAAAGTAAAATTCCTTTGGATAGTGAAGAGATTAGTGGATACTTGTAAATTAACTGTTAGCATGAGAGGAAGAAAATGCCCTGTTTTTTCTTTTAGAACGTCATGTCATTCTTGCTGTTTGCTTTTTGAATAGTGTGTCATATGTGAATGGCATCTGCCAAACACCGAGCAGGCTTCTGAGTTATTTGTGTCGTCATTCTCTGTGGAATAAATGGAAGGGGCTCGAGTGAGAGCGTACGAGGCAGCCTTCACGCAGCAGCCTGTCACTTTGCAAAGCAGCTGGGAATTTAATGGGAGTATAAATGAAAAGCGGCTGATAATTAGGCTGCTGGGTGTTTTAGCATTATTATTGTTAATTTCTAAAAATCAATTAGGTAATCAAGAGAGTGCTATTGAGAAGCATATATTTTTTTGTTTTTTAATATCCTAAGCAGGGTTACAGCTGGGGGACATAATAACGTACAGCTCCTGGTAGGGATTTGATCTCAGGAGGGACTCAAGGATCCCACTGAGCAGAAAGGAAGGGGACTGTGATGGATAAGATGGCATAGTGAAGCATGATGTTTATTTATAATAAAAGGACTGTGAAGCTTAGTTAAGACTTTTTTTGGGTTTTAGCTGTACATAATGTTAGAGGAGCTTCTCTACCAACTGGTAGGTACAAATGTCTACATGCAGATTTCTGCCATAACAGATCATACAGTGATTTAAACTATCTTAAATTTAGGAAAAAAAAAAAAAAAAGCATTCCTTTTTGAATGCTAGCTAAAGAGAAGAGTGCTAGTGTTAGTAAGCGGGCTTCTTTGGCTCCAAAGTCACTCCTTTTGTGGTGGGCACGAGAGATGCTGTGAAGCTGATTTCTGTGGTGATCCAGCCTCACTTCTGTTTGGAGCCAAGCTGTTGCACGGTGCTGGTTTCCCTCAGCCTTCCCCATTGTCCAGGCAGCCTCTGCTGGCTTCTCCTGCCTGCTCTCTGGGCTGCAGAACGGCATTCTGGATTGTGCTCTCCTTCCTGTAACCTCCCTCCTCATCCCTCAGCCTTTTCTACAGTGTTGGCAATTAACTGCTAACAATGAGTTGCATGGGAAAATAGTTCTGTGTTACAGCTGAATGTTGTGCCAGGTCAGCAAGTTTGTGTGTGGCTGCCTGCATATCCTTCCTGTGCCAACACAGCAGTCATTCTCCCTTTTCCAAACCGTGGAATACAGAGGTGGCTAACTGCACTTACCACTGGGGGGTTTTGATTCGGGGAGGGAGATGGCAGTTTGCTGCAGCAAAATGGAAATTATTTCAGGGGAACAGGAGCCTTAATGGTAAGAAAGAATCTCCTGCCTCTCGCGTTGTGTTTGGGAGGAGCAAGTCCTTGTTATCTTTGGTGCTTGTTTTGCTGTTTGGGATGCAGCAGGAGCATCTGGAAGTAGCCAGACCAGGGGCACTGCTTCTACAGCATTGCCTGAGATAAAATAGCGTGTGTAAAAATGGAGATTAATTCTTTGAGATTTGCCCTGCTTCAGCTGTGGATATAGCCCATGCATACTGCCATCTCTGTAATGATAGATCTGACTTGGCATGTGAATGTGGCACTGAGTGACAGCTCTATACTGAACACTGTCCAGATGGCGAGCTCTTGCAAAGCTTTGCTCTTGTTCTTCTCAAACCTAGTTATTAGAATCTTTTGTATCCTCACATGATCAGGCATGAGAGCAAGTGCTGAACGACAGCAAGGTGAGGGGCAGAAGAAGCGGGGAGGATCCACAAGTGGAGGAAAAAGAGGCTGATTCTTACTCTCCTTCTCGGATATCTGCCAGAAATCACTGACAAAGCAGAATCCTGGTCTAGTCAATCTTGGTCTGTTGTGGCTGAAGCAGAGATGTTGGCGTGAAGAGAGGCATCACACCATGAGTGGGAGAAAGGGAGAGAATGGTGAGGTGGCAGAGTGCAAAGGATGGGCAAAATGTAGATCGTGGTGAGAAGTGGGAAGAAAGAACTTGGGAGAGGCATTAATAGAGTAATACGGAGGTTATGAGAAGAATGAAGGGACAATGAGGCCAAGGAAGTGACAAATCTATCTAAAGCTAGTTGTGTCAGCAGCCTGTTGTGGCCGGGTAACAGCAGCACATCCATTTGGAGCTGAATATTGCCTCAGTCATTGTTTTCATAATCCTCTTTCTACTCTAATACTGCAAATTATGCAAATGTGCCAGGTGCATGCTGGGTGCAGGATGCGAGGCAGAATCTTTTATGAGCGTGCAAGGCTAATAGGCAGCTTTTGTCTGAAGCACAGCTCCTCCATGTGACTCAGAGTACTGGCTGCTGTTGTCAACCACGGTAGAGTCTGGGACCTGCCAGACTATTTTGTTTCTCTGATACTTACCTAGTAGCTAAGGTCTTCTAGCAGGTTCTTCACACTCCAGAACTGATATGGAAATGCGCCCAGCTGAAGAGCCAGAACCTTATTTTCCTTTAACCATCTTCCAGATCTCATGCTGCCTGGCTTTATGTGGCAGGGAAGAGTGCTAGTGCAAGGATGGCAATCCAGGAGGGTAACACCTTAGCTCTGCCATGGATTCTCTTTGGCCAGTCATGACAACTTGTTCAACTAGTTGTACAGTGGGATCATCCTTTACTGTAGTGGTTTCCTTTCCATCAAGGGTTAATTATTATCCCTAAGAGCATAACAAAACCATAACACCTCAGATGTTACTTGGTGGTGGCATGACATGCTGTTACTGTTGTGGTAATCGACATGACATGTAGGGGTGGTGCTAGCTCACTAAAATTAGAAAGAACTGAAGGCTCAGCTGAAAGTACAAACATTGCTATTATGTGACTTGCTTGGTTTTGGCTTTTAGCTAACAATTGTCCCATCAGAGTAAGGATAATGCACAGCAGATGAAGAGCAGTGATTTTAGTGAACTCTCCACGCAGGTGACTCATGTGTTGTTCTATTTGCTTTTTTCTGTTTAATTTATTGTAAAAGACCAGCTGTTATCCCGAAACATATGCCAGGGAAAGAAATATGAAAGTGCAACGGTACAAAAATCTTCTTTTTTGGATTGTTTCAAAATGTTCACTCCCAGACAGATATTCCTGCTGCTTTAGTTTACAGAGTTGACCTTTCCTCGACCTCCAAACTGATTCACTCTCACCTGTGATGAGAGGCATTCAGCTCCTCCATTTTTCTGTTTCTCTCTTCTCAGTGAGTAACTCCAGTGTTTCTTTGGTTAATTAAAGTTTACTGCAGGAGGAGCAGGAGTGGGTTGAGAGCACTGATGAAGAGATGACTAACAAAGTAATCGGCATGTGATTAAAGTGTGGGCTGCCAGGCACAGATTAGCCCTCCCTGGACTCTGCTTTTATCTTAGCTCCATGTTTTGAAATAATTCTATGCAATAATATATAGAATTTCTATCCCATCTAGCTTATCACATTAGAGCAAACTAGACAAAATGACTCAATTTCAAAAGGCTCTGATTCAGCTCGGGCTGCAGCCACTCATTGCAAATGTGAAGTTAGGTGACTGACTCCTCTTTTGTTTCTTTCGAATTCTTGCCCTGTGGGAAGTTTAAGGGGGAGAGAGTTGGTCAGAGTGGAAAATGAAGGTGGCATTATAAAGCCTCATGAGATGCATCAGCGACGATCACGTCGCAAAACTCCATGTGAACTGGCAGCTGCTGAAGGGTGAGGAGGACGTGGAGGTTTGAGCAGTAGATAAATCATGAAGAGAAGAATAACAACTTTTCCCAGAGGGAGAGCTGCCACATACACATGCACCAAAAGTTGTTTATTTGCTCCCTGCAGTGGTTTTTCCAGGTTTTTTACCAAAAAAAAAAAAGTTTTTTGCAGTTTTTTTCTTTTTAAATGAGAAATCTTGTTGGCTTGCTTACAGCTACCTGATGCAAGAGGACAGAAAGACCTGCTTTAAACACGGTGTATTAACACTTCCTCTTGCTACTCATATCCTTTTCCCCCTGTATAATTCTAATATCCCGTGAGTCTAATGCTGAGGCATTAGCTTAGCTGCCGAGCAGTTAACAAAACAGTGATTTGAGGGAAGCACAGACAAAGAATAGTAAGATGTTCACTCCCCTCCCAGATTCCTCCATCTGCTGTTATGGCCACAGTGAGGACAGTGGTTGGAAACTGGAAGAGCGAGCATACGAGCTGAAGGTAATTGAGAACGTGGCAGGGAGAAGGAGAAACCCTATGAAGAGATGATGGTCATGGCACACCAGTGACACAGAGGCTTCCTTAGTGGTGACTGCCATAAAGTGCAGTGCTAAGAAGCTCATCCCATTGGAGAGCACAAACCACATCATCTAAGTTGCTTGAGCAGCTGCTGCTGGCAGCACTCTTCATGGATACAGAAGTGGTGATCATGAAAGGGAACTTAAGTCACTGAATAAATTACTCATGGATTATTTGTGGAATCTTAGAATAAGATTAGGAAATAGAATCATAGAATTGTCTAGGTTGGAAAGGACCTTTAAGATCAGCTAGTCCAACCATCAACCTAACCCTGATACAAGCCCATCACTAAACCATGTCACTAAGCACTACGGCAACCCATCTTTTAAATACCACCAGGGATGATGCCTCAACCACATCCCTGGGAAGAACAAAGAAGGAATAGAAAGAATGAAGAAAAGAAAAAAAAAAAAGGAAACCCCAGGTTCCTGGAGATTTCAGTAAAGTCTTAATATGTTGTTTTTCCCTGTGCGTAGCTCACAGTGCCCCAGTACTGCCCATTCTCAGGAGCTTTTTTCAGAAGGTGCAAAGTTGCCACAGCTGCTGGGGACATTGGAGAACCATCACGAGACTGTCAGTGCAGTGCCGTCCTACTCAACGATAGCAACATAACTTGAATTTGTAATTGCTGCTTAAGACAGCTGTGACAATCTGCATTTCTTTGTTGGGTGAATGTATATTAAACTAGTCTTAATGAATCAGTAATTTTTTCTTCTTGCAGGGTACAATTGGT